AAACGTTAGAAGCCTTGGGTGGTGCATTACTCTTCACTACTCTTGACCTGCGAGCTGGGTATTGGCAGATCTTAGTTGCGCCGGAGGATCGTGACAAAACGGCTTTCACGACTAAGAGAGGACTGTATAGGTTTGTTCGTATGCCATTTGGCTTAACGAATGCTCCTTCAACATTTCAGCGAATGATGAACGGTGTTCTGCGTGGGTTGACGTGGCTAACATGTTTAGTTTACTTGGACGACATAGTGGTTTTCACACGTGGAGGGATAGAGCAACATGTGCTGGAGTTGGCATGTGTCTTCGAGCGATTGTCAGCTGCGGGATTGACGCTCAAACTAAAGAAGTGCAAGTTTGCGGCCAAAACGATGGAATATTTGGGCCATCAGCTGAGTTGTGACGGGGTACGACCATTACCGAGGCTAGTGACGGCTGTACAAGAGTTTCCTACACCTACAGATACAGTGGAGGCGAAGCGATTTGTCCACTTAGCGGGATACTACAGGAGGTTTGTGCAAGGGTTTGGGACTCTCATGGCCCCAATCACTAAGTTGCTGAGAAAGAATGTGGAATGGGAATGGGGTGACGCACAGGAATCAGCGTTCGGGAGAGTTAAGGAGATGCTTACGACAAGGCCCTTGCTCCTATATCCTGACTTCAGTCAACCATTCAGAGTAACAACAGATGCAAGCCAAACGGGACTTGGCGCGTGTCTTATGCAAGACCGAGGAGACGGCTGGCAGCCGGTTGCGTATGCAAGCAAGGTGAACAATGTAGCGGAAAGCAAGTATGGTATCACGGAACTGGAGTGCTTAGCGGTGGTATGGGCGATAAGACTGTTCCGACCTTATCTCTACGGAAGACGGTTTACAATTATCACAGATCATTCAGCTTTGAAATGGCTGATGACCAGTCCAAATCTGACCGGCAAGTTACATCGTTGGGCACTCACTCTACAAGAATTCGACTTTGAAGTTCAGTACCGACCTGGCAGCACGAATGTGGTGGCTGACGCGCTTTCGAGAGCGCCTGTGGCTGAAAGGGTGCTAGCGGCGGTAGGAAGAAGACGACGATCGCGGCGACGTGCAGAGGCACACATGACAGATGCGGCAAGGCATCGACCAGTCAGAGCAGCAGAGGAAGTTCAAGCGGATGAAGCGCCGTTAGAATCAGCAGGGGTGGCAGATGCCACAACGATCTCAAATATCGTGTTTTTGCCAGTTGCAGAAGAGCAGAAGGATAAGACGGACAATGACGACGGCGGGAACGACGAAGTCGAAGTGACGACCTCAGCATACGGCAATACGAAGAAAGCGGCAAATGTGAGCCAAGTCGCTACGGAGACGAGCAGTGTAGTGTCAGGAGCTGATGTCGACAAGAAGAACGGAACGAGCAGTGTAAGGGCGACTTACGGTGCTAGCATGATGTCTACGGGCGGTACGTCGATACGAGCGACACCGACTGCCGTGCCGCAGAGTACAGAGACGAATACGATGGGGCCAGTGACCCGTGCAGCAGCACGACGAGCTGAGGAAGCTAGACGCCAAAGTGATGCCAATGATGTGGCGGACGCTGTGGAAGCGAGTGACACGGCGGGTATTGCGCAGGACGCAACAGCAGATGAAGCGCAACGAATTATAATGAGGGCCACGGATGGAGAAGGCAACAATGGTGACGGTGAAATTGCGGGAACCGAAATCAACGATGGTGCTGCGCAGGAGTTACCAGTAACTGGAACAGTGAGTGAACCTGAGGCAGTAAGGACGCGAAGGAGAGAGCCAACGAAAGAACGGAGAGTTGAGAACAGTAGTGAACGACCGGTACGCGAATCACCATTAAATACCAGGAAGACCAAGGAGAAGACGACAGCAGTATCTGCTGGAGATGGGGAAAGAAGAAGAGAGGAGGTGCAACAAACAGGATCCATGCGTGGTAGTAACGGAAAGCAGACAGTCGCAGCAAAACCTGTACAAACAACGAGCGAAGAGCGAAGAATAAAGCTACGAAGTACAAGTACGCGGAAGGCTACGGGCGCGCAGACACTGCAACTAACCGATACGGAGATCATGGAGTCGCAGAAAAGAAGCAAACTGATCCGAAGACTGCTGAATACGGGTGAGCATCGCGGCATGAAGGTGGAGACAAGGTTCGGATTGGTAGTGATCAACACAGCGAGGGGTCGACGTGTAATCATGCCTCCAGATCTCTGGGCAATTGTATTTAAGGAGAGTCACGACTCAGTATGGGCTGGACATCTTAGAGCAACACATACTTACGCAAGAATTGCAGAGGTGTATTGGTGGCCTGACTTAATGCGAGAGGTACAAAAGTGGGTGAGAAGCTGTCAAGAATGCGGCAGTAGGAAAGCACGACCAAGTGAGGTAATACCGCCTCTCAGAAGTATCAACGGAGGTGATGTTGGAGATCGATGGGCGCTAGATGTAGCAGGTCCACTACCCACGACTGATGGAGGGCACCGTTATGTCATAGCCGCAGTCGAGTATGTGACGCGGTACGCAGTGGCAGCTACAGTGAAGCAACACACGGCAGAAAATGTGGCCAAGTTTATTATGCAGCAAGTAGTACCCAAGTTTGGACCATTTCGTGAGCTGTTGACAGATGGAGCTCCAGAGCTAGCAGGCTTGGTGATTGAGCAGTTGATAGAACTTCTACAAGCGCAACAGATCAACCCCGTGCCGTACAGACCACAGATGGTTGGATTAGTGAAGAGATTTCATCGCACGTGGAAAGACGGAGTCGCTACATACCTGAACAGTGAAGACCAACGTGACTGGGACACCTGGGTCGACTTCATGACGTACGCATATAACTCTGCACAACACACGACAGTCAAACTGTCACCGAACGAGTAAATGATGGGTAGAAGACTTCGCAGTCCGAACGAATTACTACGCAGCACGGACGTACGGGAAGCAGGAGAGCTTACAGCGTATCACAGGAAGCTGTTGGCAGCGATGAAACACAGTAGTGAGTGTGCTGAGCGGGCAAGAACGAAGGAGCAACAACGGCAGGCAAAATACTACAATAGGAAAACTCGAACGAAACGGACGATAAAACCAGGAGACCGGGTTTGGATGTTTCGGCCTCCACGAGGACCAAAAGCGTCTAAATTGGTACAATAATGGATAGGGCCAATGCGAGTTATTGAGTCGGCAGGATACGACAATTTCCTGATCGAAAGAGAAGACACAGAGGAGGAAAAAGAGCGGTACATTGCTCACGTATCGATCCTAGTGACCTATCACTTTCCTACAACACTACTTAGACGAGTGGCTGAGGATATTGAAGACCAACTAGCAGACGAGGATGACGAGAAGCAAGGGGGAGATGCAGCGGCGGCAGCGAAAGCTGTACGAGCAGCGCCAGCATCCGGACAAGCAGGCGTTGCAGTATCAAGTAAGAAAAGAGACCGAAGCGCAGTGGATGACGAAGCGCCAGAAGAGCAGTCGAGTGGCGTCTTGGTGGAGTTACGACGTAGAAGGAGAAGGAACAGAGCTGCACAGTACGTCCTTGAGTACGAGTTGCGACCAGCACGATCGGCAGATGGGCTTAATGAACGACGAGAAGTTGATGCCGGACCAAGATGGGTATCCCTTCAGCGGTACGAAGAGTTGTTTAGTCGCGACAGAGTCGTGGAAGACTCTGTGGTTGGGGAAGACGTGTAATAGGGCATTGACGGTGGTTGCCGAGGAGTCAAGCAGTAGAGAGCACGTGGGAGGTATTGGGTACGTCAGTGAAGTGAGCGGTTACATGGCGTCAGTTGGTGTGGCGAGCGGAGACCGCACAAATGCGATCTTGTATCCAGAAGCGACGCGTGAGAGTTGCGAGCCAATCAGGAGTGACCAAAGATCGCAACACGAACCCAACGTGCAGAGGAAAAGCGACGAGAAGACGGAGAGCGGTGAGACTTCGAGATTTGCGCAGGAGAGCAGTAGCAGATTGAATCTCACTTCGAGATTTGCGCGGTCGAGCACAGAGGCGAAGTAACTGCGAGTACGGAGAAGTGCGAGGTAGTGAGTAGGGTGCACGAAGCGGTCAGAGGACCAACACGAGAAGAGAGAAGGAGAAGAGAGAGAAGAGGTGCGATTGGACGGACGATCAGTCGTCAGTGCATTGGTGGACGCGTGGGGCAACGACAGCGACGGGCGACGAGACCAGGAGGAGAGGACCCTCCGAGTTACTGTGTGGCTGCGAGCCGTAGGGTAGGCGCCAGAGGCGTAATCCAAGTGGCTTTAGTAAGCGAGGTTTAGTGGGACCCGAATCGTCGGTGCTTTGCGTGGACAGAGTTGTGCTGGGGGTGGATTAGAAGGACAGGAGCACGGAGAGTGGGCGCTCGATAAGTTACGGACGCGTGGCGAGTCGGAAGCGTAAGAGTGAGACTGAGTAGCGGTGTATTCCGGGAAAGAAGGCCCAGAGAAGAACCGTGGCAATAGGTCGAGAGTTAAGAGGGTGAGTCAGGTGAGTGATAGCACGCCACCGAGAGCGAGTTCGCGGCTGCTAGTCACAACAGGCCAGAGTCACAAGAGTTGAGGAGAGAAGTAAATAAAATAGGGACGAGAGTCCCGGCACCTTTACGAGGGGCCTACAGAGTGTGTGAGTTGCATTGAGACGGGCTACCCAACAAACCGAACTACTGGTAGTCCACCGCAGGAAGCACAGACAATATACGATCCGCCAGCAACGGGGCGTAAGCGGGTTGTCACAATTGAGTAAGACGGGTACTCTTGATCGATACCGGTATCATTTTGGAGCCATGCTGAAGTATCGATAGTCGTCCCGAAAGACGAAGACACACTTCAGTCCCTTAAGTCCGAATTGTTACAGTACTATCGATCGATACCGATACTTTTTTGGAGCCTACTTGAAACCGGTTTTCGAACCGAGATTTCAACCTCAGTTGAGGTTATTTTTGCCATCATTCCAAATAAAACCCTGAAAGTGAGGTGACAGAGGATTTCTTCAGTCACAAAACAAAAGGAAAGATGGTGAAGCTTTTCTGTGCGTTGGCTGGAGCGGCAGGAAGCGCGTTCTCTGTGCGGGTTGATGAGAGCGACACGGTTGATGACTTACGGAACATGATCCGAGACCACCCACAGTTTGGCCACCCCAACAGCAAGCTTCAGCTGTTCTTGGCCAAGAAAGGCGGCGCGTGGCTGAATAGTGATGGCGCTGCGGCTGTGACGCTCGATGAACATGGAAACCCTCAAGGCTTCGATAAGATGGATCCATCGTTATGGATCAAGAACGACCGATACTTTGGAGAGAAGTTTCAGCCGAACGAAGGGCAAATCCACGTGCTGGCTGTGGTTCCGACTGAAGCGGCGGTGGTGCCAGCGTTATCGCAGCAGTCGTTCTTTTGGAAGGAGCCAAAGTCGTTGGTGGCAACGACTGGTGCGAATTGGGATTTCCAGAATTCATTGGATCTCGGCAACCTAGCATCCGCCATAGGCTGTCATTATGAAGCTTGGAGAGATGGAAAGACGGACAAGCGAACTCATCCGCTATTCGTGTGCTTAGATGGCCCCGGCACTGTAAAGTCGAGATTGCTTGACGAATTTCCGAAAATCTTGCAGCAGCGAATCTTTCGTGATGAGACACAAGGCGATCCAGCGATGAAGCAGCTCTTGCAGACAGCCTACAATTTCAAGATTACGTTTGAAAATGGAACAACCGACAACTATGGCATATCCGATCCGAGAAAAATGATTGGAACTCGAATGCTATACCAGCTGCAGGAGTCGGATTGGACGATGTTTAATGCGAACCCAGTTAATCAGGTGTTTTCTGCAGAAGTACTGACGAAATTGTCGGCAATCACCGAAACGGATTCGAACCGAATGTGCGTGATTCTCTGTGTCGATAGCTTGCAAAAGCTTCAGCATGAACCAGGAAGCAAGCATTCAGAGTTTTATACGGCGTTTGCGTCGCTGTGTGACCTCGTCAATGCCTCCAAGTGCTGGCTGATTGTGATCTGCGCGGCGACTATTTCCCAGCCAGTGGATGAATTTCTGGCCGCTTCGCCACAATGGAGAGAGATGCTGCAGACGACATCATTGAAGCGCCCGAAGATCGATGGAAGAGACGTATTTGATACATTCGACTATGGCAATGGAGCTTTGACGCAGCTATTGGTGGATGACATGGGCGGGCATGGCAGAGCATTGGAAGAATTGTTCAACGTGATGCTGCAAAATCAGGGGCAAGCTTTTGAATTCATTCCGGTGATGCACAATGTGCTGGCTGCCATTCGACAAGCGTACCCTGCGATTGTTGCCCCGATGCAGAGTATGAAGCAAGCATTTCTTGCGGTGATTTCTCGTCGGAGGGTCGATGGAAATTCGCTTTTCGGAAATCTAACGCTTGATCAAGTTATCTCGTGCGGGTTGATCCGACTCGATGGAACCCAACTCCAATGCCCGTTCATTCTCTATATGCTGCTGGAAACACATGATATTCCATGGAGCAAACATGCTACTTACGCACCGGCAGAACGGTTGGAAGACTTGAAACCTTGGCAACTTTGGGAGCATTTTAACTGCAAGCTCCGAGTGTTGAAATCGCAAGCTTTCGCCCAGGAGGAGCCTGTGCTGTGGACGGATATACATCATGGGGCACGGTTGGCGAT